ATTATCCCATGTACTCAGCAATCCTTTTGGCACAGTTTTACTGATCCAAGAAAGGGCTGATCTACTACTGACAAAAAGCAACTCTGAGCGCCTTCAGGACCATGAAATCAGTCTCAGCATCCCAGACAACAGTAACTGGAATTCAAATCCTAACAACAGGGAGGAAGAAGAGTTGTTTCGAGGAGCAAAAGCTCAAGTGCTCAGCAGCCAATTCATTGCTACCACACATCTTGCAGGCACACCCCAATCAGCTCATGATGTTATGTACATCCCAGTCAACAAAAATTTTAAGTGTATAAAAGCTGAGAAAGAAAAGAGTTTCAGATTCAATAATCAACCCTACTTTTCTAGAGCAGCACCATCCAGTGTCTCTCAGGAAACTTCAAACCCTGGACTCCAGAGCTAAGAACTCTTTCAAGACTCTCAGACCAGGCACTCTGTGTGTTCCCCACTGCCACCAGATGCCAAGCAAGCTCTGTGCATTTTCTGGAGAGTGACTGAATGTTATTAGAAAACATTTTTAAGGCATAGACAGGATATGAGAAGATTGAAAAGCTGGAATGCAGTGTTCTTCAATCCCACATCATCCCTCACCGCCACGTAATTCATGGATGCTTCAGGCAAGGAGCTAAAGCAAGTGCTTCTGATGAGATAGAACACAAGCTTTTTTTTTTTTTTTTGCTTATTTCCTTTATTCCCTTGCAATATTGCACAGCTCTTCATAGGGAATTCTGCTGCTTTGTCTCTGTTCTTGGGAGGCACTTGACAATGGAGCTTTTTGAGCACAAGCCTCCACACACACCCACTGGCAGCTACCAGCAGACCTGACCAAACTGCAAATTAATCTCATTAACAGAAGCATCACCAGCTGCCCCCACAGCCACCCATCTACCCCCACAGGGAAGGAATCAGCCGGCCTACACCTGTGTTTGTGCAAGGGATGGAGGGCTGCAGCCTGCAGCTGGACCAGGGCTGCTCCCAGAGCCTGGAGAGGAGCCTGTGCAGGTGGGAGGGAGCGCTGGGGCCAGCAGTGAGAGTGGCTCCCACTCCAGCCATGGAAACGTCCTGCTGCTCTCTGTGCCTCCCCTGCAGAACACAGGAGCCTCACATCTGAAGCAGGCTGCACGCGTGTCCCTGGAGCAGCTGCAGCAGGAACCGCATCAGCCCCGGCCAGGGACACCTGCTCACCCTGGAACAGTGCCAGGCTCTGGGGGCACACTTCTGCCAACCACCGCAGAGCCGGCACAGGAAAGCTCTGCCCACCCAAGGAAAAAGCTCAGCACTTGAGGAGCACAGAAGATCTATACATTATACAGATCTAAAGCAAAGCAAACTCCTCAAAGAGAAGCTGCTCAGCATTTGCAGTGTGTTCTAATGGATCACTGCTCTGACCTTCTCCCACATCCTACAAGGGCCAAAAACCTTCAGAAGCAGTCAAACACCAAACATACATCAAAATATATGGATTGTTTATTAAGTTTCCCTCGGGAAATACACAAGAGAAATGCCTTTATGTTTATTTTTTTTTAAGTTTTGTCATAAGGAAACTTTAAAAATGGTAAAGAAGAATGTCCATAACACACCGCAATAACTAGAAACACAGTTAAAGCCTACAGCATTTTTTCCTCAAAGGAGAAAACCTAATGTCCAGCATCCATGCTTTCTTGAGCTTGTGCAGCTACTGCTCATCTCCTTTATTGACAGCTCCTGCTGCACTGACTTACTCCTGATGAAAGCCTGGTAGTGTAATAAAAGCTATTCGATAACTATTGCACTTCTGCTCAGAAGTCCTTACATTTCAGCTGCAAGTTGAGCAATCGAGTTTCTGAAGTGTTCTGAAATCGTTCAGGGTAGAACTGCTAAGGTTATTGTTATCCTGTTTGTTTCACAGCTAGAAAGCACTGTTTAAACCCAGAAATGGCAAAACCCTCCATTTCAGGAGGCAAAAGGAAATGGCCAGAGAAAAAAGCCTGTTTTATGAGTCTGCTTGTCACAACAGATTTTCCTGCAGAGAGAGATAAATGCTTGAAACGTGAACTTCCAAGCGGCCTCAGCATGAATCCCAGCAGTTACATTTTCTAAACAGATTACACGTCTTCCTTCTGTGAGAGCCAACAAAATACATTCCCTACCAATGGGAACTGAAAGTCCATCTGAGAAAAAGCAAACAGTATTCAATTTCCCAAAGGAAAAATGCAGAAGTTTTAGCTGAGAGACTGAGGCAAAATAAACTAAACACTTTGCACCAAGTGACTTTGGAGATGAGTGTTCTATACTTTGCAAAGAAAACTGAATTTTAACAGGCTTGGTGGAACAGCCCACAGAAAGAATCTGCTGCCTATGAACTCCTTTGGCTATTGAGCTTATGGGAAAATCATTCAACAGGAAATAGTCTGGGTTTAGAGGACAAGGGAGAGGGACCAGGACTCTGAGAACAGACATGGACGGAGTGAGGTTTTCCCAGCAAGCCCCCACCACACAGCAAGCAGGCAGAAGCGGTTGTGTGAAGTCACACACGATAAAAAATGAGGTTGAAAATTCTATTGGAAAAAGTTAATTATAGTCATTAAGGGCAGCATCATCTGGTGGGTGGTTACTAGTGGCTTGTGTTCAGTTCCTGCCTCTGTCAATTGATTATTGAAGACAAACTCTCCATCTCAGTGTCTCAAACTTCCTTCTGAGCCATTTTCTTACTGTGAGCACAGACAGGGGCCCTTCCACAGGTCAGTGAGGACACAGGTGAGGGTGTTAACTCAACTTGCTTATAATCAACAAAGGCTCTCATGGCTATTTCAGGCTGGGAAGCTCTGGCCAACCCCTAAAAAGCCAAGCCACTGTAAGTGCTCTAAAAGAGCATTGGTGAGGATTTGGAGAAGGAAAAAACAAATCAGAGACAAATCAAAAATGCAGATGACACAGAAGGTACAAATAACACTTTCAAACATTATTCAAGTCATTTAAAAACCAGAGTCCAATTAAAAACATTTTAGAGACTTTAAAAACAAATTAGCCTCAGATTTTTTAATTACACACCACTACTTCTCCTCAGCTTGAGCCAGCTTGGGTCATAAGAATCCATTTCACTTTGCATCTCATGCATTAGCACAAGATTGCAATATTCACACTTGGAAAACATTTATCAGATTTATTTATATATTTAAGCATTACTCAGGAGAACAAATGCACCCGGTTCTAAATAAAACCTTACACTGCCTCAGCTCAAAGGTTCTAGCTCAAGCAGAAGTTTCTAATCGAAGTGGCAGGTTCCTGGCAGCATTCAGCAGCTATCACCTGCCCAGAGCCAGCTGCTGGCTGGGTCATCCTGGGACACAGTCCCGCTGCTGCACATACAGACTGTCCTTGGCGTGTCTGTCCCTGCTGTGCCCCTTGCACGCATCCCACGCTGACTGCAACACCTGATGTGTTCTGATTCCAGCATTAATGAGTACCAGACAGGGGAGTCAGGTTCAGGAACCTTGGCCATAACAACAACAACTTTTCATCGGAACTTTGAGGGCTCCTGGACTTCCCCAGCAGTTAACTGGGGAGGGGAAGGAACAGGAGGACAGGTACCTGTTTAAAATACTTGCTACTGCTATCATGGATAAAATATTACATCTTCACTGCTGTGTAACACCGGCAGCTACACCACAGCCAGTGCCACAAAAACACAAAATACGATATTTGTGTGCATGGGGAGAGGTGGCCGCAGGGAGCCCCACCTGGAGTGCGCGGCAGAGGTGCCCATGGTCCAGGGCTTGTGCACACCACTGGCACCTCCTCCGAGCCCGGCAGGAGCCTTGATCTGCGGCAGGAGCTGCTCCAGCACGATGCCATCGCAGCGAACACTCCCCGTCCGTCCTGCCGAGCACCTCCGGCCCGGCAAGGAGCGCCTCCCGCCAGGTACGGAGCGCCTGCCGACCAAGGAGCACCTCCGGCCGGACAAGGAGCACCGTGCGAGGACCAAGTGCCACCAGCCCAAACGCGAGTGTGAGCGAACGGCACCGCTCAGGTGCGGGGGGTGGGTGGGCTGTTTATGCACACACAGCTCCGACTGCCCCAGACCGGGAATGTCACACAGGTATGTGCAGGAACAACCACCCAAATTAACCCTTCCTAGCCTTCCAGGGCTCTGGCACCTGGGAGCCAGCTCGGCTCATCCACGGACACCTCAGGAATACATTTTTTATCCGCGATTTCCCCCTCTTCTCCTCTAAAGCTCACAGTTAAAGAAAAAGTCATTAAAAACGAGTACTACGGGAAACAAAAACCCCGGGAAAAAGAGCGGGAGCCGATGTCAGCCTCCTGCCGCAGCGGCAGCCCCGCCAGCGGCATCCCTGCTCCAGGTGCGCCCGGGGGAAAAAGAGCACCGAGCTTCTCCCGGAGCAGCATCGCCGCGCCAGCCCGGCCGAGCGGCGCCGGGGCAGATCCGCGTGCTCGGCGCCGGGCACAGCCCGCTCGCCGCCCGGGGGACCCGGCCCCGCCGGGCCTCAGGGCGTTCCCCCCGCGGGGCACGGACCCCGGAGTGCGGGACTCTGCCCGCCGCATAGGCCCAGACCCTCACCCGCCCTCACCTCCTTCTTCACGTTCCACAGCAGCTTGTCCTTCACGGCGTCCGCCGAGCAGCTCATGTTGGCGGGCCCGGGGCACTCACAGCTCCCGACCCAGGCCCGCCGCCATCTTCACCGCGGCGTGACGTCAGCGGGCGGGGCGGGGGCGCCGCCCGGCCGCGAGGGGGCGCCGTGTGCGGACAGAGGCGCGCGGCTCGAGGGGCGGGAGGGACACGGGGGGGGACACGGGGGGGGGACAGCGGGGGAGACACGGATCCAGCAATCCGGGGAGACAGCGGGACACGGATCCCCCGCTCCGCTGCCGGTCCCGGTCCGGGAACTCCAGCCCCAAATCCTCGGTGGGGATCACAACGGCAACACGGAACAAAAGAGATCAACAGCAATAATAAAAAGTTATGATGCTGGAGAAAAATCACAGAAGACAAAATATAACACTTTATTAAAAATTAGTGTTCTATTTCCATTTAATACACTGGTGAAACACTTTACTCAACAAATAATTACTGCATTAACTAGGTACTTTGTAAAACTTACCCTTAAAAGTTAGACATGGAAATAAAACAAAGACTGAATCTCTAAGAAAGTAACTTGATCACAGAATGTCAGTTTAAACAAGATCAGCAATCATATTTTCTATTCTCTGGATATAAAATATCATACAAATCCAAAAGAATCCTTTACTCTTAATAAACAAAGTAAGTGCCAGCCACCCTGTGAGGCAGAGGAGTGTCCTACTACCGTTCCACTGGATGAGAAGTGACACACATACAGAAAGCAGAGTCCCTGGCTCTGAGGAAGGGACAGAGCTGGACTCACCTTCCAGGCACACCTGAGCTCTCCCACACCTGGGGGGAAGGTGGCTGTGAGGACTGAATGCCATGGATTGTCACAGAACACAACCTAAGTGTGTAAGGCAGGGGCTGCTGGGCAGACCCATCCAGTTCAGGTAGATCTCCAGTATTGCCTGGAGAGAATTCTGTCTGAAAATTAAAAACCTTGAGAAGAACAAAATCAAACCAAGCCCACAGTAAGCAACGCCCACTCAAATGCAGCTCTCGGTGACAGCACAGCCCCTCCAACATCCTCCCTGTCCATCACTTATTTTCTATTTTAACCAAGAAGTGCAAAAGATAAAAGTCACTGGAGTGGAACATTTCAGCAGGACAAATGTCTCCTGTTAAAGCACAAGATGCAAAGGTGAAGGCTAGGCAGTGACTTGTCTCGGCATTGACCAGCGGCTGGAGCTGAGCCCTGCAGAGCTCCCTCCTCGGCCTCTGCTGCCTCATGAACACCGACCCAGAGAGAGCTCCTTCCCAGCAGCTGCTCCGGCCACCGGGCCTCCCTCCTTCCCTGCAGAGGGACCGAGGCTGCTGCCAGGGCACAGGACTGGGAAACACCCCGCAGCCCTCTGGCACCGGGCTGGCCACGGCTGCCAAGGAAAGGTTCCCATTCTCTCCCTCCGTCTGCCAAGGCACTGCCTGAATGTACAAAGGTTTGACTAAATTTAAGAGTGAGGAGGACAGCTAGTCCTCTAAGAATGAAGCTTCAATTCACATAGTTACAATTCACACCCTACAAGTAGGGAAAAAAAAGCTCTTTTTTCTCCCAAAGTCTACTCCAAATTCCCAGGCACATCGTTAATGGACCCAATGGGGATGGTCTGGGTGGAAGCCAGCACAAGTCTCAACTTGAAGACAAACGAAACCTGTATTGTCTTAATCTGTGCTTAATTTGAGCTCAATTTGAGCAGAGAAGATCCTTGGACAGCTCACTGCAAACGCACCAATGCTGCCTTTAAACTGCATCATCCTGCTCGCTACTGCTGCTTCTGCACATTTACAGCAGGCTGTAAATTCATGTTCTAGAATGTCTAGAACATCCCTGTCACAATAATTAACAGCCTTCAATTACATAAAGATTGATTAAGCTGAGAATACAAAGCATGTGTTACATCACAACTCCAGTACTCAAAATGATCAGAACCTGGTGGGACAGAGATTGGAAAACCCCAGGGCACAATTTTGGGGCAAGGGAGATTCAGTGACATCATGTGCTGGATCAGTTCCAGACAAACAGGACACAGGAGAAACCACAGAAAAATGAAAAGGATATCTGCACGTATTTTAAACATGTTTATAACCGCCAGCAGTTCCTACTGATACTCCACATTCCACAACTGCCAAGATCCTTTGCACTTGGTAAAAGATTCTCACAACCCAGATGGTTCTCAAAACTGTTTGCCTCCCAGGTTAATTAATCTAAATTCAAATCAGAAATTACTACTACTTTTTGGCTGTGGGAAGGAGGGAAAGGAAAACTAAACCAAAACACAGGCTTTTCTCTGCTTACTACAGTGTAATAATTCACAAGTTGGATCCATTTTGTTAATGAATCCTCTGAGTAAAGAAAGCCTCTGGAGTAGCATACAGCTCTGATGTTCTCTTTCACACACTCACTCCCATACCTGTCCTCCCCAGAAAAAATAAATGCAAATATGACATTTTTTCTGCTTATAACTTCATTTAAATGCAGTTTTGCAAGTCTATAAGCATCACTTACTTACTCTGTTAACATTCACTACGATAGTGACAAGAAAAAAAAAATAATATAAATCATTTGCCAAGAAACAGAAGTGCCACATGTGTTTTTTAAATGGCATCAGCCTTTGTTACAAGACAGAAAAAGCAAAAGATAATAACTTGAAGCTATTAAATGTAGCACAAAGACCCCATCACTGCAGCCTCTGCTGGTGCCTTCAAATTAAACAGCATCAGTGGAGGGAAAAAAATTTAAAAATCCACATCACACTCTAGCAGAATTAGAGAAGAATTTTTGTTGTAAATAACCTCAACAGCTGTATTTTCCCTGGCACAACAGAACAGCCAGCTGGAAAACAAAAACTTACAGAAAGCAGAATAAAAGACATTGTTAGGTTTATTAGAAATTTCAAGAGGTCTTTCACAAATAGACAGGTGCATTCCTGTGCAATGCAGCTTTCTGAATGTGAGGAGAATGAAGTGAATCCTGCCACGTGTAGAGGCAAGAAAATCCCAAAATATGAGAGTGTTTTCTTACCAACCCACAAACACTTAATTTTCAAAAACATGAGTGCAAATCATTTTTTTGTCCCCTTCCCTGCTTCTATTACTCCTAAACCATCTACATCTCTATTATCCTTATGAACTCCCTGCATTAACTGGGGATTATTTTCTTGTCAGGCTTTTGCAGTAATTTTCTTCAAACCTTACAGGTAGATCTGGCACTGGTCAAAGCAGATCAGGACTGACCAGTGTGGAATCTGGAGCTTCGTGACCAAGTATGATACAGGAACACAAAAAGCAGCTGTGGACCATATCCAACATATCCCAGGCTCCCAGTGGGCAGCCAGCAGAAATAACCATGAATGACAGCGGCAAAACTGCTACCTATGGCTGAAACATACAAGCAAATGCTTAAAAACACAATGGCTTTTCATACTAAACTTGAAACTGTTTCCAGAAAATTTCCAGAAATTTCCAAATTTGCAGAGCAGACTTGATTCCCACCTCCTGAAGTGTCCTGTAGAATTAACACCCAGTCAAGCACTCAAAATAAAAGTGATTATTTCAGTTTAAAATCCAGTATAAGCCACCTCTCTCCTGTGCCCAAAGCCTCTCACAATTCCATGCTAGAACAATATTTTTACAGCTGTTTTTCTTCTTCAACTTCTACACTCTAGAAGGGATTCAGAACACAGAACTTGAATTCACATGTTCTAGCCTTAGAAAACACTGTTTAGCCTGTGCTTCTCCAGGCACTGGGACTTTTCCCCTGCTGCTTGAGAAATTTAACAATAAACAGCACTTTTAGGCCACAGGAGGAAACCAATTCCCCAGGTTGCCCTTGTTTATATAAACAGGATTTCACTGTGACAAGATGCAACCAGGGCAACACTGCCACAATCTGCTCAAGTTTGCTTACTTCAGGTTTCTTCCCTCACCATACCCATTTCCCCCTCACCCAGGACATTACCTACACATTTACATTTTCAGAGATTTCCATTTTTCACATGGGGAGGCTGATGACTTGATTCTTCCCACTTTGGAAGAGGCTTTCCTTGGAATCAAGGAGTTTTAAAGATACTGTCCTGGAACTCAAACCTTTGCAGGTGTTCTGGGGACAGGGGTGGGAGAGCACAGGTGCAGCTGACCGGTCAGCCAAATGCTTCTCCTGGGGCTTATCCCGTGTAGTGTCTGCTAAGAGCAGCCACATTCAAGTTCCCTCTTCAGTATCTTAATTTAATAACTGCAAATTCCATGATACAAAGCCCTGAAAGGGGAGCTGTCTGGAAAGAGCTTTTCAAACCATGCCACCTCACTCAGGAAGAGCAGTTCTGCTCACAGCAAGGGGGAAACTGGCAAATCATTAGATAGGAAAGAGCAACCACAGACTGAGAACCAGCACTCCAAATCCCCCCTCCCCAGCAGGAAGAGGGGCCAGCCTGCAGGTAAAGCACAAGGTGCACGCCTCAGTTCTCCAAGCCCTTGGCCTTTAGTGCTGCTTTGTGCACACAAATCCCCGTTTGCTGCTCTAGGGAGCCGGGGCACCCCATGAAGATCAATGCTAGAGTCCAGGGGATCCTTCCCTCCTGTCCAAGGATGAAAGCTGGAGCAGGCCCTGCTGCAGGGACACACTAGTGGCCGAGCTGGCGGTCATCGTAGGTGCTGTATCTCTTGACGTGGATGCGGCGCACGCGGTCACGCAGCTCGAAGCCGTCGTCATCCTCGCTGTGCGAGGCCTGGCTCCGGCTGCGGCTCGTGGCCTCCAGCAGCGAGTTATCCGGGACACGGGGTGTCTCGTACAACAAGACATTTAGTGTTTCCTCATAAATTCGGGCCTCAGGGAATTCAACCTACAAAAGACAGCACATGTCCTGCTCCTCATCCATCCAGGATAACAACTGGAACATACACCCACATGTGAAAAAGTACTGAGCCATAAACCCACACATTATAAAGACAATAAAAAATTTCTGGTAGAGGGTTACTCCCACCACCAGGTCACCTCCCTCAGCTAATCGTTTAGATTGCACTAGAAGAGAACACAGCATCTCTGATTCTCAACGTTGGACCCCGGTAACCTCAGCGGCACCACTGCAAATTAGAAGTTAACTCCTGAAGTTAGAGAAACTCCGTACACTCATCAAGCTAATCACGACCGTTTCCAAGCCGTAGCATGGGCAGGTGAAGCTCCATTACCTTGGTTTGCTTCTTCTCGGTGGCGTAGACGATGGAGGTGCAGCAGACCTCGGCCAGCTTGCGGCCCTGCCCATAGAAGGACCAGCAGCAGATCTCATCCCCGATCACATCCTTGATGAACAGCACTCTGCCATTGAACCGCAGGGACAGCTTGTCAAACAGCTCGATGTTCTTCAGCAAGTTGTCATCTGAGTTACTGAAACACAGCAACAGAAGCAGGAACAGGGATTTTCAGGCAGCCATCTCTGCCTGTTCTGCCAGCTTTCAGCACTGATCCAACTGCAGAATACAAATAAGTAGTGACTCACTGCTGTGTGCTGCCAAGAAAAGAGGGGTAATAGCCCATTTCAGATACAAATACACTGCTCTGACCCCATGAGCAAACACACCAGCCTTTAGAGGTCAACTTACACAATTACTAAGGACAGCACAATGTCCCAAACCATTACATCAACTATCCACACTCGAGATGATCAAACCCCCCTTCACTGCAGTTCTCTGGCTTGATGACAGCAGAAGTCCAGAGTCAGTGTGTGCTGGAAGGGCCATGTGCTCTGCATCCTGCACACCACAGATACACTGTCAGGGTGAGTCCACTATTTAAAAAACTAAATTTTATTAAGGGACATGCAATGGAGGGCCTAATTACTTTTCAAAGCAAGATACAGTTGTCAAAACCCAAACCAAACCAAAATAAGCCAAGTTAGATCATCCATCATCATCTTCCATTCCCATAGTCAAAGAGAAACTTTCCCACTAAAGTGAGGGGGAAAAAGAAGGGACATACCTGGTGTAGGAGTATTTATTGTTGCTTCTATTATACAGCAGTTTAACAACAGGCTGTTGGGAGTGAGAGAAAAGAAGAAAAGGTAAGTTCTGTGCTTCAATACATTTAGCATAAATCCACAGTTGATAAGAGCAGTTACTTTCATTGATGACTCTATCAGTCTCTCCTCTTCTTTCGGAGAGGTGATTATAGGGATGCTGCAGACAGGCTCATACAAGTCTTTCTTGTCCTGTTTTAATGAAAGAAGAAAGAGAGGAAATAAGAGAAATGCTAAAGCTGACATTGCTGCTGCTGCCTCCTTCAGCCCCTCCAGCCATGTTCCCAAATGAAGTGATGTACAGGAAAAGCCCTGGGTTGCTACAGTAACCACACAGCTTACCTTGATCTGCAACTCAGAATCACAGCAGAGATTTCTTATCCCCGGAAGGCAGCAGTAATTGAAATACTGGGATGCAGGTGGATGTCCTCAACCACAGCGAGGACAAGGTCTAGTCATACTTGGTTTAAGTGAGCTTATTATTCCATCTTTTCTTAAAGAAAAGGATAGAAGGAGTCTGCAGTAGTTTTAATTAACTCAAACCACTGCACAGAAAAAGCATCGGCCACCGTGAACTGAATGCTTGGCAGAACAGCAGGTCACCAACATGAGCCAGCCTTCAGGACACAGAGCAAAGACCAAGCATGGGCAGGACAGGCTGTGTCCCCACATCCCTCACCACCTACTTACTGACCGGTATTTCAAAAATACCTTGCACACCTCAGACTTGGTACCATCTCTAACGCCATGAAATAATCTCTCAAGTTGTCTTAAGTAAATTTTATAAGCAAAACACCCATGAAACACTTCACAGGCTACTTCTGTTCTTACCTGCAGAGCTGCTTGGCACATGTCCACTAAGCCCTGGATGAGATAGTATTTGGCTTCTGCCATCAATGCTTTGATCTCCTGCCTGTGTTTTGGAAGTGCAATAGTGTCATCTCTGAGATAGTTTAAAATTGTTCCAAAGTGCTTCCCACAACGGTCTATAAGGATCCAGCCTGAAAAATAACCAACACATTTCAGTCACCTCAACACTAGAGGCTAGAAAAAGCTCCCTAGAGAGATTAAACAACACTGAGGTTTCCTGACACTGCTCAGGACGCTTCTCCCATTTCACCCACTGGAAGTCCCTACTGACTTTGAGCAAACTGAAGCTGGTGCCAGAACAGAAGCTGACAGTGGAGCCCCACTGGTACTGCCCAGATGTTCCCACTGCTTTCCCACACCTCAAAAGCAAAGCCCCAAGGTAAAACCACTCAGCTTCCAGCACAACGTGCTGAGGTTGCTGCAGGGACCCAACTGCAGTGCTACACTGTGATGCTGGGCAGTCACAAACCTCTGAGAGCCAAGGAAGGACAGAAGAAAGAATTCACCATTGTTTGCAACAGGTAGATTTAGATGTAAGTTCTGTGGCCTAACAAGGAGGATTTGGCAGCTCTCCAAACACATCTGCTGCTGCTGTTTGGAGCTAAAAAGAGAGAGAAACGTTCTGAAGATGCTAAAAGGCAGATCAGCCCAGCAAACCCATTGTGGGGGAAAAGCTGTTCAGTCCCCAAACAGAAGCAAAGAAAGACAGATCAGGAGGAAGCACAGAGGGGATGAAGCAGAGGAAACAGCAGCAAACTGACGAATTCTTGCAATTCTACAAAATCCCTGAGGTCACACTCCCTAAGGAAACAGGATGTCTGATTGCTGCCAAACAGCAGTGGAGGATGCATGCACGCACAAGGCTCAGTACAATGCCAAACCCTTTCCCATAAAGTGGAAGACAGGAAAAAAAAGTGTTATTTTGGAATCTAGGTATAGAAAACAATCTAGGAAAGTAAGCTAAAGCCCTGCTGGACTCTCCAGAACATGACCCTTGTTTTCCATTCAGGCTGAGGCACTTACACAAAGCTGCCTGTTCTGCCCTTTATAATGTATTGGGGATTTAAAATATCCTGTGTCCAGCTGGAGGTGACACACTGACTGACTGACCACTAAACAGTGTCATGGCACCATGAGCCACTACTGAAACATACTGCTCAGGAGAAGGGGGGAAAAAAGATTTCACACCAAAGCAAGGCAGGCTATTCTGAGCCTCAAAGCTGAAAACTGCACATCCCTCCCTATATGTGTAGTTCGAATAATGCCACTGTTTGATGTGACAGAAATGTCAACCCACAGACTGTTCAGTCTTTATAACACCACCACCAACCTGCTGTGAGGGCAGGAAAGAGCACCAGTCCTTTCCCAGTTTATCTGAGTAACAAAAACAGGTATTTCTATAAAGCCAAAGGATTGCTAGCACCAAAAGGACTTGCCTGACTAATGTTCCAAGTGATTTTTGGCATATATCATTTTCTACATCCTTAACCAAGTAAAACCACCAACAAACCCCAGCTGTTTTACAAAACTTGTCAGCAGTGAAAGCTGTTTCCTTACCTTCCTTGTCGGTAAGCACCTCCATCCTGCCGCTGAACATGGCTTTGAGCATGGTGTCGTGCCTGGTGAGCACCTGCACCGTGGTGTAGTACAGGGAGCCCCCGACGTTGAGCCGCACGTACTTGTTCCCCAGGCTGCTGCCCTTGAGCCCGCCGGCCTTGGGCTTGTGGCCCGCGGCCGGGCACAGGGCGCTCCCCAGGCAGGTGTCCCCCGACATGTCCTTCTGGAGGTAGATGACCACCCTGCAGCGCGTGGGCCGGGCCGTGGTGCCGCGGTCACGCCTCAGCGGGCCAGGACGGCGGGGCAGGGGCCAGCATCACCTCGGGGGCAGCACGGCCTGTGGGGCCGGCACGGCGTGTGGGGCCGGCACGGTGCCCCACGGCCACTCCACACACAGACGTGGATGTCACCCTGCGGAAGAGACGCTTCCTAAGGACACAACTACACACGTCCTGACAAAACACGACTCGGACATTTCTCAGACAATTCATGCAGCCGAGTTATCGCCGCGTCACATTTCTGATGCACCTGAAACTTCCGACTTCCTGCTATTGTATCTCCGGCCGACGGTGCGAACAGCACACAGCCTGAGGGCCAGGCTCAAATGCTGATGGAATTCAGCTCCCCCTCGGCTTCGCAAAAGAACCCAGCTCCGTTTGAGGCCAGCTGAAAAGCCCTGAAAGAGCTTCCTGCCCCTCCTTCAGCCGCGGTGTGTGTGCGTCCCCCCGAGCGGGGCTTGTTGACGTTGGTTTGACTTTTAACTGGAGACATAAATAAATATCTCTTCAAAGGCCTCAACACTGAAATATGGATCACAAGGTTCTATCTTCTGGTAACTCCTCTCATTCAAAACTATCCCTCATCCATCCTGGAGCCCTGACGAGTGAACGTAGTTCAAATTTGAAAAGAGAATAAACCAAGACTCCCCACCACGTACACCACTGTTTGTCACTGATGGCCTGCCTTGCTTTAAACCCTCAAAATCCCCTTTTGAGAACAGTGGCGTGTTTGTAACAGCAGCCAGACCGAACCTACGAGGAGAAAGGAATGCAGCCGGTCCGACCGAGCTCCTCAGAAGAGTTCGCGGCCAGTTCCGTCCCTCCAGGCAGTTTCTCGCTGCTCTGACCGAAGAACGAAGCGAAACGCGAGCAAAGCTAAATCCCCAGGCCAGCCAGCGCGGGCAGGAGCCAGCTCAACTCCTCTAAGGAGTCAATGAGGAGCTGCGAGGCCTCTGCTGCAAACAGCCACGGGATCTTTAATTACCCCGTTTGATACGACCGAAAATTCCCCACATCCCTTCCCGTGCCTTCCTGCCTGCCTCTTTGCGTGGGAGGCAGGACGGGCTGCGGAACAATGGGCCCGCAACGGGAGCCGCCCCCGCTCAGCACCCCGGGAAAAGGAGCGACCCAAACGGCTCGGGGGGAGCCAGAGGAACCCGAGGGTACCGGGGGAGAACGGGAACCCGCCTGGCATCCCGGGCAGGGCCCGGGCCCGGCCCTACCGTGGATACACGGCGGGCACAGCCTGGCCGGCGGCCCCGCTCCGCCCGAGCCCCGCGAACGGCGGCACGGCCTGGGACAGGCTCCATCCGCCCCGGCCACCGGGGCAGCCAACAGAGTCGGCTCCGCTGCCGGCCCCGCACAGGGCCCAGCCTCACTCACTCACCTGCAACAGCCGCTCAGGCCCGGCCCGACCCGGGAACCGCCGGCCCGGAAGAGTTTCCGCGGCTCCCGGCGGGCGCAGCGCTGGCGGAGGCGGGGCGGGCCGGAGGAGCCGGAGCCCGGCGGTGTCCGCTGAGCCCGGCCCGGCTCGGCTCGGCTCGGCTAGGCTAGGCTATGGCTCAGGCGGCGTTGGGCGCGGCGGGGCTCCACTTTGACGAGCTGAACAAGCTGCGGGTGCTGGAGCCCGAGGTGGCGGCGCAGACGGCGCAGCTCCGTGAGGAGTGCCGGGCCTTCGTGGACAGTGAGTCCCGCGGGCCGGGCCGTGCAGCGAGCGCCTCCCGGACACCTCGGGCCTTCCCTCGCCCCTCTCATCTGATTCCAACCAAATCTTTCTACGTGGCTGTTTACTGTAAACTTAAACGTACAGCTGCGTCTAAAAACGATATGACAAAGCGACTATTCGATCTCTTTAGGGCAGTTCTGGGTATCACTTGACGATTTTTTTTTCTTTACAGAAACAGCAGAATTCCAGAAAATAGTGGGCAGCTTGATTGAGCTCGTTGATCAACTGGCCAAAGCTGCAGAAAGTGAGAAGATGAAGGTACTGTGCAGTTAATTGCTGGCTTCTCGTGTGCACTGCCCTGTCTGAGCCCTCTCTTTCCCTCCCTCCCTCTACAGCAGAAACAACGATTCTCTGTCAGCATCCTGCTGGCATTCCCCTGTGATTAACTGGGCCTTTAGAATTGATATTAATGTTAATACTATAATTAATATAATGATTAATGAATTAATGAAGCCTATGACAGTATCGCATAACTCCCATGTGTACCAGTCCTGCTCTCCCTGTCTGTCTGTATTTCTGCACAGAAACGGAACGTGTGTTTTTTAATCACTCCATCTTGGTAGAACTTGTCCTCCAGAGGCAGGAGAGGCCTCTGGTAGCCTGAGCTTGTCTGGCTGTAGGACCAGTGCCCAGTGTGTGTGTCCAGAAGAGTCACTGACTGTGTTCTTCCAGTTCGGCGGAAGCCTCAGAGGCCTTACCCCTGCCCAGCCCTCAGGAGACAGCATCACCCTCCCTGATTGCTGGCATGGCTGAAATGCCTCGAAGTCAACCTGTTGGGAGGGAAAGGGGTTAAAGGAGTTAACCCAAAACTCTCCACACATCCCTGCCTTGTCCTGCCAGGCCATCGGGGCACGGAACCTGCTGAAGTCCATCGCAAAGCAGAGAGAGGCTCAGGAGCAGCAGCTCCAGGCTTTGATAGCTGAGAAAAAGATGCAGCTGGAAAGGTGAGTTTTGTGTTCAGTGTTGTTTGGGGTGTTGTGCAGGCTGGGAAGGCTCAGGGCTGACTGCCTGTGCTGTGGGACCCTTGGCTGGTTCAGACAGCCACACCTGCATCAAAGGTGTGTCCTGGCCAGAGCACACTGAACAGTGCCATGGGGTTACTTACCTTCAGGCCCTGCAGAGAGCCAAAGAAGGGTCATCCCTGAGGACTTCAGGGCTGAACAGAGGCAGCACAAACTAGGGCAGTGCAGAACACAAAAGGCATCTGCAACAGCCTTGTGTCTGGCTGATAAAGGTCCTTTAGAGCTGCTCAGTGTGACTCAGGCAGCTGCTGCTTACAGGTGACACACACAGCCCAGCTCCCCTCCCACCTCCCAGGGGGCTGCCCTGACCCACCTCACACATGTGGGGGTCCTGGACCCTCTGTTCTGTCTTGCAGGTACCGGATCGAGTACGAGACTCTCTGCAAAATCGAAGCGGACCAGAACGAATTCATTGACCAGTTCATTTTCCAGAAATAGAGGATTTTAAGATAAAAACCAGCTCACATGGAAAGTTGACCATTCCAGAATCTTGAGACTTTCAGAAATATGCAATTTCCACTGTGCAGGAGTGCAGATGATGTGTACAACAGAGGGGCTGTACCTCAGTTTGAGTGTACTGTGGCAATAAGGAGGACTGACTGCTCCCAGCTGCACAGACTGTCCTGGCCTTTGATTTTATACCAGTTTTGTACAGTCAGTTCAAATTACAGTTGAATTAATGCTACTGGTGCTTTGTTGTGTCTCTTTTTGAACTCTACAGCTCTTTCATAGAAATCAGAAAATAAATTATTGTTCTCAGACTGTCCAGCTGTACCAGAATGAGTTGCTCCTGCTTTGTTATTTTTCAGCGTAAGAGCTCAGACACAAACAGCAGTATCGGATCTATACTGCCTGTTACTTTTTCTATAGAATTAGAAAAAAATCCCAGAAATGTGTGATTTCCAGAATGGACACATTACAGACACAAAAAAGCAGAAACTACATGAGAATTAAGAACTTTGAACTGTTCCTGAGGAATGTCCATTCAGGAGTGTCATAATCTGAGAGCTGAATCCTTTTGTGGGCTTTATTAGGATGGAATGCCAGGCTGATGAGGGAAACCATTCCAAGTGTCAGTGACACCAGGAGTGCACAAACTATATATATCTAACACAGGTGTGAACTCAAGCCTCATGTTGAAGTGCAAATAGATACATTTTGTGTATGTCTTTAACACTTCAGTATGGAAATGCTGCCCTTTCCAAAGCCTGGGGAAAGCTTCAACTTTTACACAGTGAAGTCTAAAACGTACCAGTAGTGCTGGAGCAGCTTCATGGGGCCTGTCACCTCACCAGGCTCCAGATCAAAACCAACCCCAACCACTGAACTCCTACCTGTAGTTGTAATTTCTGCTTGGATTTACTCTGTGAACTCTAGTGGTCACTGTAAGTTCCTTCAGCCATTCCTTGAAGAAGACTGAATGCATTTTAATGCGTTTAGTTATTTATTTCCATACCAGAAGTGATTTTAGAGAAGAAAGAAATTTCCAACTCCTTGGTTACAATTTCTGAAGTACTTCAGAATCCTCTAGGCAGTACTCCTGGTTGTCAAGGGTAACTTTAAGCATTCATAAATCCAGATTTTGGCACATTTATCATTGATCAGACATTTATAATTAATCAAAATGAAGCAGAGCAAAGGCAGTGGAGATTTTAAAGGAAGGGGCAAGGAAGTTAACAACCATGATATGATTTGAAATGCTTCAGAAGAACAGCTTTGCAAATCTGTGTGTAATGTGTTGGGGATTCTTCAACATATGTGGTTGGAAGACATTATTTCCTATTTGAGTGGTTTCCAAGCAGTCATCTTGGAAAAAGGGACCTTGGAAGAACAGTATCAGCTGCAGAGCGTGAGTGAGTGAGTGAGTGAGTGAGTGAGTGAGTGAGTGAGTGAATGAGTGAGTGAGTGAACGTGTGTTCCCTCTGAGTTAAACATCAAAGGGTTAAAAGTCCATTTTCCTGGGAGAGTGGCCTTGCACAGACCCAACCCCAGGCTGGCCCAGGTCCCTGCCAGAGCAGTGTGTGGTCAAAGCAGGGCTGTGCACTCCAGCCAATTCCATTTTTCCTTGCAGCAGCCAGGGCTCGGGGAAGAGCTGCTGCAGCCAACACGAGGGAGACGTTTGTCCCAGAGGACTCCGCCAGCGTAGGGTCGGAACCAAATGCAGCACAGATGTGGTGTGTACGCCTTCCAGAGCCAGCTACTTCCTTTTCCTCTTCTCCACGTGTTTGTAGTGGGGGTTGCAGAGCATGGTGAACAGGAGCAGCAGCGGGATCAGCAGGTAGGGCAGGTAGATGGAGAGCAGCACCAGGCGCTCACGCAGCGTCTGAGGGCCCGCATGCTCCGACTTGGAGAAGTCATGGAACAGGATGTGGGCCAGGATGGCAAACAGAGTGGTGGCTACGTGGGTGGAGTAGATAATGGAAGGAGTCCTGATCCATCTGCAGCCACCTGCAGAAGCAAAAAGGAAATAATACTTAAGTATTTTGAAACAACCAGAATTCTGAGGCTTGTGACAGAACACTGACTGCTGCCTCTCTGCCAGGGTAAGCCATCACTCAGATTGAATAGGGAGCAGAAATAACCCTCAGTACTAGTAGGAACCAAGGAAATTTCTCTCCCCGATAGCAATTTAGAACAAAGGGGCGATCCCAATAGTTTTAAAGTAACAAAAGGAGTACACAGGCTTGATCCAGACCTTTAGCTGCCCTGGAAATTAGCCAGATGTCAAATGCTGATGCTGGTTACACAAATGGCTGCACCTGACAAGGGCCTGTAGTTATAAGGTTTTGTTCCTGACAAACTTTATTCTGTGCTGCTTTCTCAGGCAGAACACTCGCAAGGGCCCTAGCAGCCTGGCCCTCCACAGTACACCCCTCAAACCCCCTAATCATGATAGGGAAACGTTCTCTGCTGCAGCAGCAGCAGGTGTCCTACAAAAATGCCCCCAGGATACATCCTCAATCACCCCGGTTTCCCCCCACCTTTCAGGAAGGCGTAGGCGGCGATGGGGAAGAAGGGCAGCTGGAGAAAAGCTTCACAGTAGATGAACGCCTTGAACCACTCTGGGGGCTGCAGCATCATGGGGTCCCTGAAGGCAGTTGCATATTGCTGCAACAGGTCTGTCAGCTGAAAAAATCCAAACCCCAAAACAACAGTCAGTCACTGAGCATCCACTACTGCAGGGCAAAGCTCGTGATTCTCGATGGGATGAGGCCAGCAGGGTGGGAGTCCCTGGTCCTGAGCAGGGCTGGGGGCTCATTCTCGGGGCTGCTGCAGGGGAACAACTCAGCACCAGGATTTGGGCTCTGTCCGTTGCAATTGGTTTCCCTGACAGAAATGTAAACTCCAGCATGGCTGTACGGTGGACTTTGACCTGAGAGATATGCATTGAGATTTGCTGGTTAACTATTAATTGAAAAAAGTTCCTATACTGGAGTACTCCTACAGGCAATTCCGATGGCAAAAACCAAATCACCAGTTGTAAAGCTCAAACAGGAGGTGACAGCCAACCACACCCTGACGATGAGGGCTGAACTAATTATCTGCCACCCAACCGTTATTTTAATTGATTTTATGATGTTCATTTTCTTCCATTATTTTGTTCAAAACCCAGCAAACCAGAGATTTTTACTAATAAATTCGGCCGCTGGCAGGCGTGCTCCTGCAGCGGCAACAATTCCCTGTTGCGTTTTAGGCAGGAATTTGAGGAAAACTCGGGATGGGAGAATGGCCGGGGCCGCAGGAGCCACGTCCCGAGCACGTGGCGCCGGCCCCGCTCTGCCGCAGCCTCAGGGCGCCGGTGCCGAGGGCGACAGCGGGACAGCGAGGCCATTCCCAGGGAAAGGATGTCCTTATGGCAGTTGTGAAACACCGTCAGCCCGCTCTGGGCAGAGGAACATCCCCCCTGCCATTCCCGGGGGGAGCAGTGACCCCGCACTCGTTCCCCGGGGGCCTCCCCGGAACGGGGACACGGAGCGGCCGCATCCCGGTCACGGCTTCCAGCAGCAGCATCAGCCACAGACCGACCGCGCGGATGAAGCTTCCCTCTCCCATTCCCGTTCCCTCTCCCATTCCCGTTCCCTCTCCCATTCCCGCTCCCCTTCCCGTTCCTATTTCCATTCCCGTTCCCGCTCCTCCCCAATGAATGACCCGGCTGTGAGTCATCTCGTGGGCATCAGCAGCGCTTCGCTTCCAGA